TGCCAAGTCCTGGTTGTACACCTCAACAGTTTGAACTCACCGTAATCAATCAGTTGTTACTAGGTATCTCTCAGTCACTGAATGATGTGGGATTCTGTTCCGTATGCTATAGATATGTTTTACTGCCATTGGTGATTAAAGAAGCTGTTTCAGCCAATGGTTTAGTAGAGTATAGCCAGGTGGAAAATCTGAACAGAGAGATAGAGAGAAAGTAGGTGGAGTCAGAGAGCTGCCATGTAGCTGCCAAAGGAGAAAGTCGCCAGCTGCCAGCCAGAACCTCACCAGTAGGCCACAGCATTGTGGTGATTCACAGATGAATAGAAATGGGTTAATTTAAGATGTAAGAATTAGCTAGAAATATGCATAAGCTATTGGTCAAACAGTATTGTAATTCATATAGTTTCTATGTGATTGATTATTCACGTCCAGGCGGCTGGGAAATGACCAGTCTCTCTGTTTGCCAACTGAATATTTTAACCAACTCTGAAAATTGTTCTAAGACTGTTTCTCTTTTAGAAACTTCAAATTTAAACCCAACCCCACTACAAATGTTATTTCACTGTTGTATCTCTCCCTTCAGATGTCTATGAGACAACAGTCTCAATATTTTTTCATAACTCTTTTTGTGCTCATTCTAATCTACCGGGTCCATTAACATCCTCTTTTGTTCAAGCCGATGTGCTGCCCCCTCCTCACCTCTAATGCTTTATTTTCAGTATATTCAAAAGTCTCATGAACTTTATCAAAATGCAAAATCCTTACAGGTACAACCATTTTTCCTCGAGCAAGCTGGACAGACCATCTTGTTCTTTCACACGACTGCCCTCTGCTGGCAGAATTAATACTGGCACGTTAAAACCAATCACGTTAGACAAACGTTTAAAATACGGTCATGTAGCACTTGATACTTCTCTAATACGGTTGTTGCTTCCACTCACCGGGGTGAAATAACCCATGATGCTATTGTCATTTACTAGACACCTTTTTCTTTCTAGGACTCCCACTATAACTAAAAACTGATGTTGGTGCTGCTTATACTAGAAAACGCTTTAAGAAATTTTGCAATTTATGGATTGTTAATCATGTTACTGGAATCCCTTACAATCCACAAGGATAAACTGTATGGGAAAACACCATCAAATACTTAAACAGGAAGTTTTAAAAATAGAAAGAGGGTATACAAACCCAGTGAAATCTTCACGTACATTTAACCCTACATTTAACATACATTTAATCCCCACATACATTTAACATACATCTAGCCTCCCCTCCCCACATTTAACCATGCTGGCTTTAGTCTTTTTCACTTTAAAAGACAATACTTCTGCTGCTGCCCCAAAGAATTTTTGTCCTAAAGGAGACACATCCTAAACTATATGTTAAATGAAAATATCTAGAAACTAGTCAATAGAAAGGGCTGGAGTTCTTTTAAGATCAGGTTGAGGTTACTGTTTTTACTTCCCCCAAAATGAATGAAGTTCCAGATGGCTTCTGTTCTGCTGCCCCCAAACAGGACAACATCCCAGCAACCATTGGACAAAGGAAGCATCTGAAGGTAGATGACAAACTCATTGAGGGAGATGACCCAAGAGAAGAGTAAGTTGATGACCTGGGGATACATAAAGATTTTGACCTATCAAATCAAGACCTTGGGGAGACAACAAGGACACAATGCTATTGACACAAAAATGATGCTCTTATGCTTACCGATCATATTATACGTTAATTCTCCACTTGTCAGTGCAGAACCCATATGTCTTTTATGGGGGCAATAAAAGGCACTCCTGTAATAGGAGACAGTACATTGTTGTTTTGCCATACTAAGGATTGCTTTTTTCCCCCCTCAGGATCAATTGTCTGGAAAAAGATATTATAGAAATATTGAGTCACATGAATGGAGGCTATTTTGGTTGAACTAATCTAATTAATTAATCCAAATGCAATAACGTAGATTTAGGCATAATTAGGTACTCTTCAGAAAGCTCTGATAATGGAAATTATGGTTGTATGAAGATGAGCAAAGGAGTATCTGATGTACCGATACCATTGTACCCAGAATAACTCTATCTGTTACTAATGGTTTCAAAAATAACCTCTGGCTTCACTTGGCACATAGCAGACAACTAGAGTCATCTTTTTGCACCAGAGGAGACCGACCCATCTACTCCTGGGCTCTTAAATTTTTTTGTATGGCTTAGGAATTACTCATATGCATTAGAGTCCACCTGCACCCATATCCACGGGGCTTCCCCTGATATTTCTGTCAATGGTGTTTTTTTTTTAAAAAATAGCATCATTTATGCTTTAAATGTGCTTGTATTCCTCTTTATTCTTATTCCACCTCCAATCATACGGTTTTCTCTGGTAACAACCGCCTTTGGGAAAATGCTACATATACTGCCCTTCCTGAGGATCATAAAGGCTTATGTGGGATACAGGCCGCGTTACATCCATTATGTTTGATAAATCTTTGCAGTCGGTCAATGGAATCAAGAGCTCTTCCTCAGAGTTGTGATGATTCTTTGCATCTACTGCATCCTGTAATGGTTGCATCCACGACAGCTTTTTTATGACCAGTCCCAGGAATGATTTCTAGAATACAGAGAGGTCTCAAAAATAGCCTGTATGTGACAGTTAGGGAGCCTGCATGGGACTGACCTAGGCCCTCTGCATATATATTACAGTTGTGTAACATGGTCTTCCTATGGGACTCCAAGCAGAGAGAGCAGGGGTCTCTAACTCTGTTGCCTGATTCTGGAACCCATTTCTCCTGTCTGATTGCCGCATTTCTTCTTGATGGGAGAGGACGTGCCTGTTCTCACTGCACTTGATATACCATGGCTGACTGATATCCATGGGATACCTGACTGTATCTGAAGAGAAACTGTGGAGGGGTGGATGTGGGAAGGGGAGGAAGACCTGGGAAGGAGGGAGGGGAAACTTTGGTTAGGATGTAAAAACAAGAAAATAAAACAAGCGGCATACTGGAGAGATGGCTCAGCCGTTAAGAGCAGTGGCTGCTCTTCCATAGTTCCTGAGTTCAATTCTCAGGAACCACATGGTGGCTCACAACCATCTGTAATGATATCTGGTGCCCTCTTCTGGCCTGAAGGAGTACATGCAGGCAGACCATTATATTCATAACTAAATAATAATAAATATTTATAAAAATTCGTGTGTATGTTTAGTAAAATCATTAATATTATAGCAAAAATATTAGCAGAAATTAGCTAGAAGATGGGCAAACTGAGAGCCATGGTTTTACAAAATAAAGCTCCTATAGATTATTTGTTGGTCAAGCATAATTTTGATTGTCAACAATTTCTTGCCATGTGTTGCTTTCATGTATCAGATTTCCCTCATTCTATTAAAGGACAAATTTGTGATTTGCATAAAGAGATAAACAATATCTTTCAAGTGACCTTTGAGTAGCCATCATGGTTAAGATGGCTTTTTCCCTTTTCTGGGTCCTCCGTTAGTGTTAGCTAGTCTTAGAATTCTGTTATGCTTGACTATATTATTTACACTAGCCACACAGGCGGTGCACTCAATCTTAGCCTCTGTCACACCATCCTTTTTTTCTTAAAAATGGGGGGGGGGGGGAGATAGAGGAGAAAAAGAGGTCCTTGGGCTCACAGATGAACACTAGGGGAACCTGGAGTATTAAACATACAGGGTTGTTCCCTCAAAAGAAGAAATGCATAACCATTTAGCTGCCCAAGGAGGCTGTGAGTAGACATGGTTAATAGCCTGATGGCCTTTGCACTATATGTGTGACTGAGACCCCACCCCCACGGCTGTCCTCCCTCAGATCCTTATTGTAAGCTTGCTTTTCTCAGGCAATCTATAGAACCCATCTTTATTGCAGGTTTATGTGTACTTTCTAAGGGGTTTCTATGTAGTCACACAGAATCTTTATTTAGCCTATTTTGTGACTTATTATGCACATGGGATTGAGTTAATGATTGTCAGAAAAGTTTTCACTAAATTGTGTTGTGCTTAAATATGCCTAAAATAAACTACTTAAAAACACTCCCAAAGTTTGAGCCAACATGGGCTACTAGTTGTATTCAACCAAACTACCTTCTCGCCTCCTGTGGACCGTTACTCTGATGGTTGTGGTGGTCCCATTCACAGATCCCCTTATCAGGACTGAGAAGAAAGAGGCATGCACACAGGAAGAGGTCAGATTCACCCACCCGGCAGGAATTTTGAGCAGGATCTTTGGGAAAAGTGCTGATGGACAGAAAAGAGGCAGATAGGATATCCCGTGCATGGGTAGTGAGTGCAAAAGCTGCTTCTCTGCTCAGTGGAGAGAGTAGGAGGCAAGAACGCAAAGAGCAAAGGTTGGAAAAGCAAGGATGAGGGTTGGAGGTGCAGACAGAGCTGAATCTAATGGCTGGAGAGACTTGAAGAGGAGGAACAGACCTTCTCTGACAAACTCGAGAGAGGAGTGGGTTCTCCCACCTCTAGCCAGCCTCTCTTCTATTTCCAGTCAGCTCCATGTGGAGCTCAGCTTCGCCATAGAGATGTGTATACCCCACCGCTTCCAAGCTGTGTGTGCACAGCTGTTGTTAGTCTGCTTGTGGCAACGTTCCCAGGTTACTTCCTTGCCGGTGATTTCCCTGCGGAGGAATATGATGGGTTAAGTAGGAGCTGGGCACGAAAGCATTTTTCAACTCTTAATGGAGATTGGAGCCCAGTCTCTGGGTCTTTCAATGTGACCAGGAAGAGAGCCTGGGATAACTGTGGTGCTCCCTGGATGTTCAGCTTGACCCACCCAGCGATCCTGGGTGGCTAGCTTGGGCTCCACCCTCTTAGCCTCTGCAGATACAGCCTGTTCTGATAAAGTTCTCAGGTACCTTTGGCCTCTTTCTAAGACCCTGGAGAGATATTTTCTATGGGAATTTAACTTGTGATTTTCCTCACAGGGACAGGATATGACGGAGACTTCCTCGTTTTGTTCTGTCTATTCTGGTTTTTATAACAAAGGGCAGAGTCAAGGGCTTATGGCCTAAGGTGGAAGGTGGGTGAGTATTTCTGTCATTCATAAACTGCACCCCGCTTCCTGAGCTCAGCTGCCAGTCCGCGTCAAAAGAATCTTAAGCTTCAGGGACTAACACTTCACTATCATCCCTTTTACAGGGAGACAAGATTACCAGCGCCCATCTGCCACTTGGCCCTTTCGCTGTTTCCTGAAAGGTATGTGGCTCCTTTGTAACACCTGTATGAACCTTCTAGAACCTTCTAGAAAGCAGAGGACAGAGTGAGGCCCTGGGGGAGGCATATCATAGAGAGAAGCTTTTATTGCCTGATCCTGGTGGTTTTGTGAGGTGTTTTGGGTGTCTTAGCAGAGATGCCCATTCAGGCTGGGCCCTCCGAGGAGGCAAGACTCAGATGCATTCTTTCCCCGCTGCAGATGAAAAGGGTTCATTCTTTCGGGACTCCCCTCTGAAAGCAGCTCAGGCCCTAGAGACTAAGAGGGTGGAAATCTAACTACAATCACACCAGTGTAGGCTACCGAGTAGAAGTGGACACTGGAGTGGGAAAGAGGAGGGAAGTGTGTAAGGCTCATTGCCCACTGGAGCTTATGTGGGTAGCAGCAAGATGAAACACACCAACTGCTGTTTGCAAAAGAGCAGTCAAACAGAAGAGGTGAGAGATGGCCTTCGATACCAGTGTGCACGAGGAGCCCTTCATCCTTCATGTCTTCAGAAAGGGACATCCCAGGGGCTCCCAGCAGAGCAGTGAGACTATGGTCCCCACCAACACAACTTAGCTAGATCTGAGGCCCCTTCACCAAGGTCTCCATCTTCACCCCATATTCAACATGTCTAGCTTCTTCCTTTCTCCAGCCAAAGTCTCCACCAGAGTCAGAATCTGCAGCCTGTTTCAACCTTGGTGCAAATGGCTGGAACTAAAAAATGTTTCCTTTTAGGGAACAGCTGCACTCCTGGAAGGGTTGGCACCTGTAGCTGAAGGGCAGGTGGGAAGGGACATCAAGGCAACTGTGGGGAGGGATGTGGTGTTTTGCCACGAAGTCACTTTAGGAGAATCTCTTCTATTCCCTTCGGGAAGTCGCCAGACCACTGGCTTCCAACGAAAGAAAGGTTATCCAGCAGACTCCCCTGAATACTGAACAGGGACTAAGTATCCGTGACTCCCATCTGAGACGATGCGAGTGACAAAGTTCTTAGGGACACTTTGATTTAAGTTTCTTTAATTAGCAGTACAATTTGAATTCACTAGTTGATTGGTTTTGGAGCTGGATACCCTGTGGTCTAGTCTCTTCTTCAGCGCAGCTGGGCATAGCGCTGCTCGCGGCTGGGCGGTCCCTAACAGCGTTATGGTTTCAGGTTATTGATGCGCAAGAAAGCTGAAGCCAGACCTGACACAACACAGCTGGTGGGAAGCTGGATCAGAGAAAACAGGCGCTGTGCACACAGGAACTTCACTCTACCACCCAATAGCTGTGTGCAAAGGGGCCCCCATGTAATTTGAGCTTATCGGTCAAAGTAGTAATACCGATGGTGTGGGTGAGTGTTGGATGAATAAGTGCTCCATTTATGTTAGTTTTATTGTTGTGGGCTTATGGATGAGTTGCGTGTGCATGGGGGCGGGCTGTGTGTACATGTGCTCCCTGTGTTTTCAGCCTCTTTTCCTGTGGCTTTGGTGGTGGAACGTGTGTGTGTGTATATCACAACAGAGAAATGACAGCAGAAAACAGGGAATCCTCTAGTGGTTCTGAAACGCACTTCCCCCGCCCCTTGCTTACCCCTTGGGAAAGAACAGACGCTCTTTCTAGACTAACCAGAGCAAGGGTTCACTAGGCTCCCGTCTGATGCCCTGGCAGCCTCTCTTGAGTGGACCCATGACACCACTTGACGCAGCTGACTAATTCCTCACATTGGAGCTCACCCAACTGGACCCGTAAATACAACCTTGGTTCCATTGCTTTGCGAGCTGCTATCTGAGTGGTGGTGGGTCCCATGTGGCTTTGCTCTTTTGGGGACTCTAAGCTCTGTCCAGTCCACAGGGCTGAGGCACAAAAGAGAAGGGAAGGAAACAAGATGAGGGATGAACACAAAGCCAGCGTGGCTTCGGATGCGTTGCTGCCACTTGCCAGAGATGCCACAGATAGACACATACACACGTCCATCTTCAGCCACAGACAAGAGGCCTTACTTTCCTCCAGAGCTTTGCTCTCTGCTCAGGACCTCTGGTCTTGTTAGTTGTTGCACAACTTAATGACCTCACTAAGTTCTGACCATCCAAACAGACAAGTTGGCTCCAGAGGGCTTTCTGCCCTCCTCCCTCTAAAGGGAAACACAGAGGGAGTGGCCCCAACTTGCTCCTCTGTCTTCCCTCTGCAACATCTGAGTCTGAGCTCCAAAGCCCCAGGACCTGGCACATTTACTTCTCAGACCATTGCCCTCCCCACCCCACTATTGTGTTCCTACCTGTCTGGTCCTTCTAGCCCAGGGGCCACTCTGAGAAGCCCTCATCAATTCCTTCTTCTCTGACTGCTTCTCTACTGTAGAATTCTACATCTTTTGCCAAGGGTTTTGCAGACGTGGTGTGGCAGGAGGAAATGCTATGCAAGCGTCACTAAGCCATTGCAAACAGGAAAATAGGGTGGCAAAAGACACGAGTAGAAAAGTGAGTTGGGATAGAGAATAAAAATCCACTGACTAATCCTTCCCTGGAGGAACTGTTGTGATGGGATAAACAGTTTCTAGAAGACAGTGGCAAACTGATGTTTTGAACATGGACACAGAGGGAGAAGGTGGCAACTTCTATCTATAGAGTATTTTTTTATCTCTACGCTTGAGACAGGGTCTGACTATGTAGCCCGGGCTCTCTTTACATTCATGATTCTTTGCCTCAGCCTTCTGCATGCTGGGATACAGGTGTGCACCACCACATGCAATTTAAACAACATCTTGTCAACTCACAGAAGCCTTAAGCTTTCCCTTTGTCGTTGGGTCCTTCCATTGCTCAAGCACAAACATTGGGGTTCCTTCAGCTACAAAACCTGCTATAAATCCTACAACTAAGTAAAGAAGCTATGTGGAGAGACTTGATGCACTCCAAGATGGGTAACCACATGAGACTGGCTGGCTGCTAGGTTTAGATGCTAACACAGAGCCCAAGGGGGACTTTGAACTAGAGGAGATAGCTCTGTGTGGGACGAGTCTTAGTCTTCTGGACCACAGGAGGGAGAAGGGCTTGCCAGAGGTCTGCCTTTATCAGCTGGGCCTATGGATGCTATAAACACAAGAACAGTGACTAGCTAACTCCCTGAAAGCACTACCTAAGGGATCAGAATAGATGAAATTGTCCCAGAATGTCCAAAAAGTTGGCGGCAGCCACCAGATATATACTCTGTTTTGGATTGAAAAAAAAAACCAATTCTCTGTTCTTCTGTTTTACAAACCGGATGTTCCAGGGCAAGGAAAATTGTACACAGTGGTGGGTGGTGGGGAGGAAGGGAGATAAAATTGCATTTGAGATTCTTCTGAGATTTCCCATTCCCTGGGGGTGTGTCCCTAACCCAGAGGAGGGTGATACTGAGCACCCACACATTGTATGGCTCCATTCCTGACTCTAAACAATACTTGGCTTCCTCTGGGACCCTTCAGTCCTGTCTGCTCACAGTTCCATGAATTCCAACAAGCCCAATGATAACAACATCACCTGGTAAAATTAGAAGCAGTTCTCATGTCCCCTCAGGGTTTAAAAGAAGCCATAGGCCTGATGTGAAAACTCCAAAATCAGAAAACAACAAATAACCAAGACAGCAGCTGACCTCAAGCCTGCTGGGCGGAGGCTCACTGCCCACGTCACCTAGCATGTTTATTGCTTTCTAGGTGGCCCGCACTGCTGACAGATGGCAGATCTCTCAGTGTTTGTGGGGTTTCTGAAGGAAGTGCCTTGGCGCAGGAGCATCTTCTTCACCCATTTTCTCCTCATCCTCTGCTTGGGTGAGGTAGATTCAGGTAATGTATTTTGGCCTGCAGCCATATTCAGTGCACCCAGGTAGGATATGAGTTTCTTTGCTGGGTGCCCTCTGGGAATGGGCCCTCATAGTGCAGCAGCAGGCCATACTAACTGCTAAAATGTAAAGTATTCCCATGCAAGGTTTTGAATTTTTTGTTTGTTGTTTGTTCGGTTTATTTTTTTATTTGTTTTTGTCATTGTTTTTGTTTTTGTTGTTTTGCTTTGCTTTTGAGACAGGTTCCTGCTGTGCAGCCCAGGGGGGCCTGGAATTCACGATCCCCACGCTTCAGCCTCCCCAGTGCGGGGGGGGGGGGGGGGATTGCAGTTACATCTCACCATTCCCTACTTCCATACCAGCTGTTAAAGGGCCACAGCACTTGATGTTCTTCCATCCGTCCACCAGCCCCTGTTTCCCATATACACTCCCAGGAGCAAAGATAAGCACAGCTAAGAGCAATTCTCTTTCCCTGGAAAGCTTTGCAAAGAACACATTCTTTGGGAAGGAAATAGATGGAGGATGAACTGGGGTGGGGTGAAGAGAGAAAGAAGGGGGGATGACAGAGAGACCTCAGGTGTGTGAGAAAGCGGGCTGAAGAGACCCTGGAGAGCGAACGTGTAGGAGGGTGGTTGGGATTGGCCAGCAATCATCCAGGAGGCAAAAGGTTTTGTCCAAATTGACATATGATCTATGGGGCAAAGCAAAGGATGGGGAGGGAGATCTGGGATGTGTAAGCTTGGGGAAGAAGTTGTAGCTGAGTTTGGAAAGGAAGAAATGGACTAATTTAAGGACAGCAGAGAGAGCACCTGGCAACCTCACGGAAGAAGAGAAATGTCCAAGAGAAAGGTGGTGACAAGTCTCTCAGTCGCAGAACTCAGTGGGTGTTTAAATATTAAAATCGACGGAGCACAGCAGGCCCATAGGTTATTTTCCTGTATATTTTGTTTTTGTAGAAGCTGTACATGTGCATTCTATTGATAAACACTGTGAACCCGCCTGTCCTAGCTAGTTTATTGTCAATTTGACACAAGTCAGAGGTACCTGAGTAGAGGGAAGCGTACTTGAGAAGATGCCTCCATAAGAACAGCCTGCATGCAAGCCTGTGCATTTTAAAATTAATAATTGATATGGGAGGGCCCAGCCCGTTGTGTGCAGTACCACCTTGCGCAGGGGTTCCAGGGGTATGGAAGAAATAGGCTGGGCAGTCTATGGAGAACAAAGACAGTAGACAGCATTCCTCCATGACCTCTGCTTCAGTTCCTGAGTTTAGGCTCTTGCCTTGAGTCTCTGCTTTGACTTGCCTGTAATATGAAATAAGTCCTTTCCTCCTCAGTTTGCTTTCAGACATGGCAGTTATCACAGCAAAAGAAATTCGAACCAAGACATGGACAAAATAAGACTTTCCATTCTCATTGCGCAGAAATCACCGCCATCAGCCATATGGCGTCTCCCTTCCAAGATATTTTTCTTATGCACTTGCACAAATATGCAAGTTCTCTATTCTATATCACAGACATAATTTTTTTGTCAAACATTGCATTTAGTGTGCTCCCCTGACCATATTTACACAGCTCCCCAAATAGCATCTACTCTTGATTGATTCAAACCAGTAACCAACCAGTCCAGCCCTGCACAGTGCACTTGGTTGGAATGTGTGTATATAATGTATTTTAACTTACACTCTGGCTTTTATCATGACGATTTTTTCTCCAGGAAACCACACGGGTTGTCCTTGGAGAGCAACTCATCATTGTCATTTGGATAATTTGCTGTAGATTTCTGATCTGCAAAGGGAAGTGAATTTTAAAAACTTGAGTTTCACGTGGGTTGATCTTGGCTATTGTTTTGAATTGTTGTCCTAGACGAGGTCAAGGTGCTGGGCCCTGGAGACTCCATGTTGGCCCTTGTTGGGGAAACGGCTGAGTTCCCGTGCCACTTGTCGCCATACCAGGATGCAGAGCACATGGAGATCCGCTGGTTCCGGACCCAGGTCTCAAACGTGGTGTACCTGTACCAGGAACAGCAGGGGCTCTCCGACCCGCAGATGCCAGAGTTCCGCAACAGGACCGTATTCGAAGCGAATGACATCATGGATGGCAGCGTGACCCTGCATGTCCATAGCGTTATTCCCTCCGATGAGGGCCAATATGGGTGCCGCTTTCTTTCCCACAACTTCTCTGGAGAAGCTATGTGGGAGCTGGAAGTAGCAGGTATGTTCTGGAGTTAGCCAGGAGAAGGAGACGGAGGAAAGGATCGGATTGGATAGAGCTGCCTTACAAGCCAGGAGACAGAATGGCGTGGGGGAAATCTCAGATTGAGAACAAACACACACACTATGTTAAAACATCAGGTAGGGTTTGAAGAGATATTTCAGACATCCATCCAGTGCCTGCCTAGCATGCACGAGGCCATGGTTCAATCCCCAGTACCAGGAAAGAAAGAAAGAAAAAAAGGTTTTTTAGAAGTTAAAAAAGAGGAAAGAAATCTTATAAAATCTATAGGCAGCAAATAAAAGGGAGAAAAGTTATAAAAAAAATATTGAATAACTTCAAAACAGCTGAAAGGGTAATTTTAGCCTTTAAGGACAAGGTGACTCAAAGTGACATCAAGGTATAACAGGCATTTGTGCAAGATTCGTTTGCGCAGTATTACTTAGAGTTTCTTGAGCACTGAAGTTTCCTGAAAGGTAGCGCATAGGAGCTGAAAGGGCTCCATCACCACTGTCCACATTCTGAAGCTAGAAAGACAAGGAGCTCAATGAGCAGATGTGAAGGGATTACTAGAATCCATTAGGAAGATGGGAAAACTCATGTAAAGAAATTTAATGATGTATATTTTTATGAACAAGAAATAAAGGGGACTAACATAGAAAGAAATGTAAACAGCACAAGCTAGAAGCTAATAGATTTGATTATCTAAGTAGTAAGGACTTAAGGAATAAAAATTAGTGGAGAAAAGTCTGGGGCTTTCCTGATATTTTATATATCATTAGTATTTAGACATTAATATTCCAATATATTTTTGATTTAAATAGAATTGCATCACTATTCTTCCCCTTCTTTTCTCTCTCCAACCCTTTCCAGAGTCTCTCTCTCATACCCCTCCCATACCCCCCCCCACTCTCGAGTTGATAAACCTTTTTTTCTTTGAGGATTATTGTCACATACATGCTGAGTGGTCAGCCTTAAAGCTATATACATACTACCAACAAAAATGGACTTAAGATATATTGTACACACATACATACACACATATTGATATTTTATAAGTTTTAAAATATATGGCTGGGGATATAGGTCAGTGAGAGGATGTTTACATAGGTGAACAAGAGCTGGATTTGACTCTTAGCACATAAATTGATACTTAAATGACAAATGATAGCTATATAGATAACAGAGCCAGCTCTATTTGACTGTGAAAGAATTGCATATGTCATAGGCATTTGAGATTTAGTGAAAATTAACAGAGGATAGTCTATTGAAATTCTGGGCGTGACAACTCTTCATTGTAGTGGGGTCATTTATTGCACATTATAACTAAATACATATAGCCTTCCTCTGAAAATTTCCTAATATCCCTGCCTAATCTAAACTGTTCTTTGGCAGTTCATAGCTGGAGGGCTGTGAGCTCACAAACGCGATAAGAAGAGTAGTCATAATTCCTGACGTCATATTTTGATCTCAGATGGTGAACAGCAGCATGAACTGTATGCAGAGCTTCTAGAAGTAAACCTGATCTTCCCCACTCCTGCTTTCCCAGGGTTGGGCTCAGACCCACTCATCTCCCTTGAGGGCTTCAACGAAGGAGGCATTCGGCTGCGATGCAGTTCCAGTGGCTGGTACCCCAAGCCCAAGGTTCAGTGGAGAGACCACAGGGGGCAGTGCCTTCCTCCAGAGTCTGAAGCCATCATTCGGAATGCCCAGGGCTTGTTCAGTCTGAACACATCTGTGACTGTCCAAGGAGGGGCTCATAGTAACGTGTCTTGCTCAATCCAGAACCCCTTGCTAGCCCAGAAGAAAGAGTTTGTGCTCCAGATTTCAGGTCAGTAAGCACCGGCTCACACGTATCCTTCTGATCATCAAAAGTTCCATGTTGGTTGGCCCGGGATTCTGAGGCCTTGCTGGGTATGGGGTGGGTTGGCTTTGAAACCTGAATCTACTTGGCTAAGAGTAACTCTGAGAGTGCAGCTGACAACCAAGCAGTAAGTGAGGAGGCCCGAGAAGCAGCATTTCTATACCATAGGTCATGCAACAAACTTGTAAGGCTCATTATAGGTAATCATAGGAACTCATCTGTTACTAACATCATCCCTCAAGCCACTACTTGTAGAACCCCAAATCCCGACACCATGGCTCCCGTCCCAGGAGGGATTCAGATGATAAAACAAGTGACTAAGAGCATGCCCTAGAAGGTGGGAGTGCTGGAGAGACCCGAGAAGCAGAAGAAGGCACCTGGGGATGACGTCATGTAGCTCTGGGTTATAAAAAGGTGACTCGGGTCAACAGATGTTCAGGCGAAGAGTTGAAATTTCATCCATTGCTTGGTTTCAAAGTCCACAGTGTTAAATTTTATTTTATTTTCTGTGTATGGCTGTTGGCCTGCATGTATGTCTGTGCGCCAATTGCGTGCTTGGTGCACTCAGAGGCCAGAAAAGATCATAAGATCCCCTGAAATTGTAGTTACCAAGGGTTGTTAGCATCCATGTGGGTGCTGAGAACCAAATATAGGTCTTCTAGAAGAGTAGCAAGTTCTCTTAACTGCTGACCCATCTTTCTGACCCTTTATTGTTTTAAGCCTTGAAAACCAATCTAACCTATGGGTTATTTTTTCCTGTAAATCTAAATCAATAGTTAGAAAACACCATCTTCCTTTTTATCAGGCAGATACAACCTACTGCATGCATGATCTCAAGACAAACTGTAACAAGCCCCTAAGCGGGTGGACTCGGCAGCATTATTTGTCATGCACAGATCATTCTACAGTCCCCTGGTAGCTGGGTGGTGGGGGAAGTCTGTGTTGGCTGTCTTTATCCAAAGGGAAAATAAAGTACACCCATCTCTAAGGCAAGCATGAAGCTACAGCCTGGAGCTGGACCCCAAATTTAAATTCCCAGAGCATGAAAGGATTTGGATGTCTTGTCCTGGATGTTTGCATGTCAGATAGAAAGTCCTGAAGAACAACAGTCCTAGGTTATAAAGCTGTCGAAGTTGTTTAGCTTTCAAATAGACTTACTTGCTTCTCAGAGGAATAAGCAATTTGCAAAAAAAAAAAAAAATCCTAAAGGGAAACTGAGAGCTACTAATTTCTTTTAATATCAGCAAAAGTTTGGATTTCCTTCCTTCCTTTGTTTCCTTTTTAGATCCATATATATATATATATTCATACCATTTATAGTTTATTATTAAGGTTACATGTATAGACCTTTAGATATGTATGTACTCGCACAAGTCCACTGCTCTTAATGGATATCAGGTGGAGAGACCAAAGGGGGCCTAGGTCTAGCCACCAAGTCAGGGAAACAGCAGATGAGGGAAAGCTGTATGGGAAGGATAAATCTAGTGTGGCCAACCCCTTCATACAAGACCATGAAAATAGAGTTCTAGAAAACTAACACACACAAAAAAAGACTACAAGTGCTAAGCAAAACAAACCAGACTCAAAAGGAAAAAAACACTATGTGACTTTACTTACATATGTGAGGATTTTACTTCGCAAACTTCTTCTAAAGAAGGGGCTTCATCTTAAGCCACATAATGAGTGGTGGCTGATCTCAGCTCCAGAAACGTGTTTCAATAGCAGAACTGTAAAGGATATCCTGAAAATAGCCCCTTAAGGAGCTAAGGAGCAGGGCCATAAAATTTAACGAGGTCCAGGCACATGGTGGTGGTGCACACCTTTAATCCCAGCACTCGGGAGGCAGAGACAGGTGGATCTCTGTGAGTTTGAGGTCAGCCTGATCTTCAAGAGCTAGTTCCAGGACGGGGAAACCCTGTCTCGAAAAATTAAAAAAAAATAATAATGAGGTTCAGATGTTTCTAGAAGGTATTCTATCTTTGAAGATACCTTGTCAGTTATTAATGGCTCTTTGTTAGGGTTTTTGCACCCCAAAACTGACCAATAGTTTCAGAAACCACCTTACCCTATGCCCTCCTTGCACAAGCCCAAGATGACAGGACACAAACTCCCTGGATTGTGGCATTTCCCCTTTAAAAGTTCTCCCCGCTTCCTGGGCTTGGGACTGCCCTTCCCTCACCCACTGCTGGAGGTGTGGTCCAAACTCTAGTTGGAATATTAAAAACCCTCTTGTGCTTTACATCGGAATCGGTTGGTTCCATGCAGTTTCTTTTTGGGGGGATGATTAACTTGGACATAATGCCAAGGTACCCAGAACAGTCAAGTTCATCTAGAGAGTCAAGTAGAAGTTGTGAAAAGCCTAGAGGCTAAGAGTGAATGAGGTGTCAGTGTTTGGTGAACAGCATGGGACAATGAAAACGTGTTAGAAATGGACACTGATGTGCACATAGGTGTGGCTAAGATGAGGGCTAGGATTTAGCTCCTTGATACAAAGCCTGTCTCTCTCATGAGACCCCAGAAAAGCTACCAGGGCTTTTAACCACTGTGATCTCAGGCTCAATTTACTGTACTTAGAGGTTAAAAATATACTTTTAGAGAAACATCCTTCTGAGATAGTGTGTTACCTCTGAATAATTAGATCACACAGACACAAACCTTATTAAACCGACACAGCTGTTTCTTCAGGGTCACGCTCCAGTTTTGCCCTCATCCCCTCATCTTCTGGTCAATCTTGGAGCTGCCCTGGCCTGCATGCAGCCACAAGTGGCATCCTTTCCTTGGGGATTGTTCGGGAAGCAGCTGTGGTTAAACTATTGGCTTTGTTGGGAATTCTTCCAGTGCTGTGAGAACTGAGATAAATGTCAGGAAGCAGGTGACAACCTGTGGATTCTCCAACCAGATAGAACAGCTCACTGGTTTTCAAAAGCAAAACACTTTGGATTCATTGAAAGGTAGCATCAGAGCCAGAAGAAGTTATCTCCCGGTTATATGAGGAAAGGGGTATACCAAGACCTGTCATTCATCTTCAGTTCACAGTGCTCCCTTCTCTCTGCCCATGCTCACACCAGTCCAAGTCCTGCCGTTGCACCAGATCCTACCTGGAGTGAAGGTTGCTCAACTGCCCTCATGTCTAGTTCATGCCTGGCTACAGGGGCTCGCACGGAAGGTGTAACCGGCCATCCTAAGGTCCCTCAAGGCTTTCCGGGATGTGAGGTCCAAGATAGTCTTGTTTCAGTGGCTAGTGGTGCCTAAGTCGAGACAACAAACCCCATGAGACATGTCTTCCAGATGTATTCCTACCCAGAACGTCCCCCTGGAAGAAAGCATTCCTGGGAACCCTGGCAGCCCTCCCACTCAGTTTGGCTGTGCTCACCATCCTGGCGCTGCAGTACTTTTACAAGAAGCGGTGCTCCCAAGGTATGACTCAGGCCCTGGAGCTGGATTTGCTCCATAGCGATGCAGTCTAATGGTCTGGACCCGGTCTGTTTTCTCTGCCAGTTAGAGAACTAAAAAGCGGGGGTGGGAGGTGGGTTGGGGGGTGAGGGTGGAGTCTGCAGCAGAGAAATTTCAAGCACCGCAGACAGCTGAAAACGGCATTTATTGAGGAAACACACACAGACAACAGACAGAGAAAAAGACCCTCTGTGAAGCTAAGGGCTAGGGAGGGAGCAGGAGGTGGTAGCCAGGGGATGGGGAGGCAGAACCCAAAAAGTCGAAAAAATCCGATCTCTTCCGGAGAGCTGGAGTTTTAAAGCCACTGAAGAGTCTTCCTCTCCTACTTTAGAGTTGGTCAGTTTGAGGACAGATAGGATGCTTGATTGGAATGCAAATGTGCTGTTGTGATCAGACCTTGTTGAGCCAGTCCACCAGCAGGCCTGCCAGTGGGAGGCAAAAGCTGCTAGGCTTTTGTCTCAAGTCAGGAGGCTGAGGAAGAAGCTGGTCATCTTGGAAATTTGCCATCTTAATTACCTAGCCACGATCCCCCTCCCTATCCGTCTGCTAGTCTCTCAATAGGAAAGGGGTGAGGTATGGGGAGGTATGAAGGGACATAAAAGCAGAAGGCAACCCAGACTGGAAGGACAGCCAGTTTCGGGTAGGACTCAGCTTTCCCCATTCATTCTTTCTTTCAGAAAAGCTGAAGAAGCAGGAAGAAAAGGACAGAGGTAAGCTAGCAGAGATGCTCTCTCCCCATGTCCCAGAGCAGGGTCCAGGGACCTGCTGGGTTTCCAAGGCAAGGGCCTCAGTCTTAGAGGGGGCATCTAGGAGAAGGGTAGAAAGGGGAGGACAGGGTTTGCTCGGATTGACAGTGTCCAGGCACCCAAATGAACTTCCGGATGCATAGGGCTGAATCTGCACACCTTAGGGGAGCGAGGTACCCATATTCATAATCTGCTCTGTCTGGTCATTCCCCATTCTGAGAGCATCTTTTCTCTCTTTTGTCTTCAGGAAGACTGATTGCACGGTTGGGTAAGTTCCAGGTTCCGCACCACAGGGCAGGCTGCAGAACAAGTGGGTTTAGCTGGCCAGCTCTGGAGCAGAAAGGGGCATTCAAGGCACTAGGCTCCTTAGAGGAAGAGAAGGAGGACACCCATCTGGTTCTCGATCTGGCTTTGTGTACCTCTTCTTCTTCGATCAGACTGAGATGGGGTGCCTGTGGGCACCCCGCTTCAGGGTTCATTCAATAGAAGAACCTCTAAAGAGACCCTGCTGGAGTCTTTACTCCCTCCAGTTCATGTTCCTGAGATCCATCTTTTTTAACCCAAATGCCACTCTGAAGAAAGATCCTTGAACTTGCACGAAAATGGGAATGCTCTGGTAAATTACTTTTCCTCTCTTCAGAACACACCAACATAAAACCATGGAGCGGTGTGGTATAGCTAAAGGCCATACAAAGGAAGTTGAGGAACCTGAGCTCCTTGGTAAAGGCTGGAAATCCCAGTATTCCACTAGTGAGGCAGACCCAAGGGGGTTGGTAACTTTCAGGCCATGCTGCAGAGAGAGATCCTGTCTCAAAAAAGCAAAGGAGGTTAGTGATCCCAAATAAAGGGGAGATGGAGAAGGCCCCCATAATTAGATCGAAGATCCAGAGAACCAAAATTTGACTGCCCTGTCAAAACTCCAGATAAAACTGAAAGAGTAGAGAGCCCTGTATTGCTGCCTATTCAATCCTACTAAGCAAAACCACTTCAGTGAGTCAACATCACAGTCTGAATTAGTACATTGATTGTTTTCCAAAGAATCCAAAGGATGGAGAGACCAGAGGACCGTGTTATGGAGACAGAGTTGGATCCTTTCCATCTAGGCGGGAGAAATAATTGCCCTTTCTGTCTTTAAACGAAGTATTCAGCAAAGATCCCCAAATCACATAGGCTGTGCCCGATCCTGGGCTTAATCATGTGCTCTGCCTTCCCACCTCCCCTCCTCCCCCTTACACCAGGTAAATCTTGTGATTTCAGAAAGAATAAACCCCCCTCTCCAACTAGATCAGAGCCTTGAGAAAAAAAAAAAACATTTAGAACCAAGGCTGTTTTCCCTCCCTGGCCCACTGCCTGTTGATTTCTTCCTCTGAAATGAAGACAGGCTAAACGCTCTGGAATGCTGGGGATGAGCCTCCTTCTGCAGGGCAATGTGGCATCAAGGAGAGAGTTGCAGTCACAAATAGTTTCAGATTAAGGATCTGTAGGCAGAGACTGCTCATTTGTATGAACATGAGGCTGCCCTGACCCGAAAAATCACACAGAAACTGTATTAATTACAGCACTAGTTAGCCAATAGCTTGGGCTTCTTATTAACTAACTCTTACATGTTAAATTAACCCATTCCTATTATTTTTATATTTTACCTTGAAGCTCGTGGTTTACCAGTAAGACTCCAGAGCATCTGTCTCCTTCGGCAGCTACATGGTCTCTTTCTGACTCCTTCTTTTCTCCTCTATCTCTGCTTGAAATTCCCACCTTGCTCTATTCTGCCCCGTCATAGGCCTTCATTAGCTTCTTTATTCATTAACAAAGAAAGGCAAGACTTAACAAAGAAGGACTTCCCACACCAAGGTTCCTTAATCTTTGCCTCAGAAGGTTGATGTTTCTCTCTGTTTTTCTTGCAGAGAGACTTCAGACAGAGCTTGGTAAGTTCCCTCCACACCAGAACTATTACTTCCTGTCCTGTCTTTGTACCTGGCTGCCCACGTATGATACCCTGGCCAGAACGACGCTGACTGTGGGTGGTGAGGGAAGGGAGGATTAGACTGTGACACCAATTCTCCTTTTCCTTTGCTCCTTCAGACTGGAGAAGGTCCGAAGGCCAGGCTGGTGAGTAAAGCCCCCTTCTCTCCCACTGCATCTCAGTGGGCTCCCTGACTTGGCATGTTTGAATCACATCCCTCTAAATGCATTTCCAACTTAGGACATTTTCCATTTACAAGTGAATTGAAGACATACTGTGAATTGTACATTGAAAATGTTCGAAGTTAGAAATGTGAGCAGCACAGTGCTGGGGTGTTGGATAGGTCCCTTCTAATCACGTGATTGTCTGGGGTGGTGACTCCCTGTGGCTTCCCAGCATCTCCACCAGACTGAGAAAAGATCAAAGTTCCAAGTATGGTTTCTAATGAATACAAATGGTTTTCACACCATTGTAAAGCAAAACAAACAAATGAAAAAAACTTAAGTCAAGTTATCTTTCCTGTTCCTCTCTGTTCATGGCAGCATCATAGTCTCTCTGGTGCTTCCACCTTCTCTCCTACAATTCACATGCTCTATTATGTATATTTTACTTGGTAGAAGTCAGACCCAGGTTTCACTTTTATATTTATTTACATTTATCATAATTATATATTCGTTTAGGTATAATTTATACGTTTATGTAAAATATGCATTTAAATATTTATTTATACAAATTTATTATTTTATATCATATATAAATTATCCATATAATTTATATTATATGTTATATTTATTGTCCAGAGGCTACATTTGGGAAAACATTGCTTTCAGTCCTGATTACACAGCATAATCTCCTGAATTTCTGGTGCTCACCCTCAAACTGCCTGTGGGTTTAAAGTAGACATGCTATTATATATGTAAATACATCTCTTCATACCTGAATGAAAATGAGAACATGGCCACTCCTAGGTATGGTTGAGGTGCAGGGTTCTATTGTAGATATGAGGGAGAGAGTACAGCCAAAGGTGTCTGGAAGAGCAGACTGAACTGGCCCATGCAGGGAGGGTAGGCAGAGTGAGAGAGAAAGAGAAGAGAGAGGGAAGAAGAGAGATCCAGGAGCAGAACAAGAGCAGAACCAAGAAGGGAATCAAAATGGCTGAGCTATATAGGAATCAGAGAAGCTGTGGGAGGGGGAGCAAAGCTCAGGGAATGGAGAGGTTTAGGGTATGGGGCAGGGTATACCAACCAGCTGAGACTGAGGGAGCGTAGGGGCTACCATAGACCTTGATTTGGTAATAGGCACCACAGTCATAGGCAAATGCATCAGCCATATGCCACTTTTGCTAGGAACTATCCTTTTAGCAGGCAGGAACTATCTTCTTAAGTCCTTGAGGGAATGCTGGCTTTTGTCTAAATGCCAGGTGAAGTAATAAGGGCGGCGGCGGGGCTGCGTCCCCAACACCCCGGCCGCCTGCCCGGCTAGCTTATGCCCCGAAATAATTACACGGACACTGTATTCTTTTAAACACAGCTTGGCCCATTTCTCTTCTAGGCTAATTCTCACATATTAATTTAGCCCATTTCTAATCATCTGTGTGTAGCACCCCAAGGTGCGCTTACCGGGAAGATTCTAGCCTAGTCCATCCTGAGTCGGAGCTTCATCCCGGGAGCGGGGCATGGCGTCTCTCTCAGGCGTCTGCTCCCGAGAGAGAGCTGTGGAGTCTCTGAGCTCACTTCCTCTTCCTCCCAGCATTTTGTTCTGTTTACTCCTCCCACCTATCCTCTAACCAATAAAATGGGCCAGAGCAGTTCCTTTATTAGCCAATGACCTTCCTCCATCAGCTAGGCTTTGGGGAAAGGAATTTCTTGGAACCTAACAATACCATAAGGGCCTATATTCCCTCCATAAGAACACCAGCCTAATATATATCTAATTTTGTATATATTCTTGCAAATCTGAATTTCCACTCTGTCACATGCATTTTATTTAGTCTTGTATAAACATCATTCATAGTCTCATGCTGCCTGTCCCTTGCTTTATATATGCATCACTGTTTAAATATTCACTTTATAGTGTGTTGGGTCTGTTTCTTCCTGCCGGTTCTCGCTGCCCACCACTACAAACCACACTGAATAAGCCTGAAGCGTGCTGTCTTATCACCCTTTTCTCTAGGAGGTACAGCCGGGAAGGGAGATTAGGCTGTCAAATAGACAAAGGTTTCCCAGTGAGCCATACTCCTGCAATCGGCCATGGTGAGGCTCTGTCCACCTGCACAATGTGTGACCCAGCTCTCTAGGTTTGCTGACCCATGGGGATAAATACTTTCTCATTCCTTTATTATTGGCTCCTCTCTAGATGCTGACTTTGAACATACACACACACATGCACACACACACACATATCCTTATTGATATATTTTATAATGGCTATGTATATATCCTTGTTAACATATACATATATTATTATTAACATTAAACAATATGGATTCCTTTTTGCTATTGTGTCGTTTGCTGTTAGTCTTGTCCAAGTTCCCCTTAGTGAAGAGAGATCATTGCTTTCCGTAAAGTTTAATTTATCAAACTTTTACCTAAGGCTTCTACTTCTGAAGTTGAAGATCTTTGCTAAGGATACCACAATGTATACTGTCTTATCATTTCTTTTATTAATTTATATTATATTTCTCAGCCTTCTGTTAGTGCCGCATAATACCTGAAACGGTAAACTTCCAGTGAGCAAAGGTTTTCTTGGGGTCTCAGTTTCAGAGTTAATCCATGGTCACTTGGGTCAGTGGCAAGGCAGCAGGAAGTAAGGAACATGTGGTAGAGAAAGCTGCTTGTTTCACGGTAGGCAGAAAGCAAAAAAGAGAATCAGGAGAGACCAGAAACTAAGGTTCCACATAGCTCAGAGCTTGGACTAAACCTTTAACTCGGGGCCATTGGAGAATGTTTCAGATCCAAAGCACAATAATGTGTTTCGTGTATAGGTCATCAATCAGTCCTACAGAAGTCCGCACACTGGGTGTGAGGTGATGATAATGCACTGACTTGTCTGTGTGCACTGAATAGGTCTTCTCAGTGCCGTTTAGTATACCAGCCATAATTCTCCCATGGAGGCAAGCTTTCACCTTGAGCATCTATTCAGTGTGGAAGCGCTTGTCCCTGGGCTCACCTCCCAATTCCATGTTTTCACCATTATGGCTTTGATAGCATCTAGAAGTTCAAGGTTTCTTCTCCATATCTACTTCCCTCTTAAAGTTAATGAACTTTTAAAAATATAAATTTACACAGTTCCTTTAAAAATTCTCAAGTTGATTTGGATGAATGGTTAAAAATTTATAGGCAAACTAACATTGAATCAATGTTTTGCTAGAACTAAGCTGTTCTGTGTAATTCCACGGACTGTTTTGATTCGAGTCCAGGGTTAATCCCCCAGCACTTGAAAAATGTTTTTATCGCTTTGGATCAACTCTTTGTTCCAAAACAGAACAAGAGAAAACTGGAGAAAAATCTCGGAATGGTCCACAATAAAAAGGGAGACTGTGGAGAGAAGACTGGGTATCTAGAAGGCATCTTAGGACAGAGTCCCATTCAGCAGAGCCTCCAGGACTGAGCTTGGCCAGGCAGAGATAGGTTTCATTTCCATCCTTTAGGGTACCAAGGCTGCTCGCTCCTTGCTTCTGTGTTCCATCTTCCCAATGTAACGAGGTTACATACCACTTTGGTAGAACCCAGCACAATCATTAGACCCCTGTCCAATCCAGTCCAGAGGTAGGAACGAGGTTATTTAATTTGTGGACAGCTCTTGAGCAAGGGAAGCCACCCTCAAGGTCCCAGAATTGTTGGCTGAGCTCTCTGAGTCCCTTCTCTCTCTTTGCTTTCAGAGTGGAGAGCGGCCCAGCAATATGCAGGTAAGTAACTGAAGCTGCCAAGTGCAACTGGTGACAAGTGGGCAGGGTCTTGCACAGAAGGGATGAGGAGGGGTCTGACATTGGAGGAAGGGTTTTTCCAGGAGCCAAGTCCATCTCCTGGAAGTGAGAACAGAATATACATACAGCCTGCTGCATGCTCTCCTGTGCACACGTTTCGAACACAAGTTGTTCACAAAGAGGCACAGTTTTCGGGGTTTACTGGGTTCATTTCCTAAGGGTAGGAAGGAAGGCTGCTTCTGGCATCTGTGTGCAGAAGGAAAGGCAGCGTCTGAAAGGAATCTCCCAAATCATTCCTCAGAAGGGCCCCTCAGAGGCATCACACACACTTAAATCCCAGCATGGGGAGGCTGAAACAGGGGGGTCACGAGTCAAGACCAGCCTGGGTTATGTAGGGAGACTTTGACTCAAGAATCTGGTGGGTGGGTATTTGGGGGCTATGTGTTTGGAGCATGGGTGCTGGAATGTAGGTCATTGGATTAGATGGTCTCAGAGGTTCCCTGTAGTTTCAAGAGTCCTAGAATTGCTGTAAAGAGGAGACGACCTGGCGGTGAAACCAAAGGAAACAGAAGCTACAAAAGACCTGACTCCACGCTAGTGAACCTCCCCCATGAACCTGCCTTATTTGCAGCCCAAGAATGGGATTCGGGACTTTTCTGTTAGGAAAGGAATGGGCTTCAGGAGTGTGCCATTCTGGGAAAAGGGATGGTTGAAAGAGTGGGTGTGTGCCAGAGTGTGTGCTTTTGCTATTCCACCAGTTGGTCCACCTGGAAAAACTAGACGTCTGAGGAGTGAAGGAGTGGAGGGGGAGAGCAGGGCAAGGATGGAGGTGAGGGAAGAAGGAGAGGTACCTGAACCTTTCCCAGTGGGTACTAACCCTAATCTTCTGCTCAGTGGATGTGACCTTGGATCCCACCACAGCGCACCTTAGCCTGGAGATCTCAGACGACCTCAAGAGCGTGTCCTCCCGACCGGGTGCGCCCAGTATTGTGGTCCATGGCCCGCAGCGGTTCTCGGAGCAGACGTGCGTGCTGAGCCGGGAGCGCTTCTGCAGCGGCCGCCACTACTGGGAGGTGAACGTGGGCCGGCGCAGCCGCTGGTTCCTGGGCGCCTGTCTGGAGTCGGTGGAGCGCTCGGGGTCCGTGCGCCTGAGCCCCGCCGCCGGCTACTGGGTGATGGGGCTGTGGAACAGCTGCGAGTACTTCGTGCTGGACCCGCAGCGCGTGGCGCTGACGCTACGCGTGCCTCCCCGGAGGGTGGGCATCCTGCTGGACTATGAGGCAGGGAAGCTGTCCTTCTTCAATGCGTCTGATGGCTCGCACATCTTCACTTTCACCGATACTTTCTCTGGGGCGCTCTGCGCCTACTTCAGGCCTCGAGCCCACGATGGCAGCGAACACCCGGATCCCTTGACCATCTGCTCTTTGCCGGTTAAAGGGCCACATGCCCTCGAAGAGGACGACAATGACAATTGGCTACAGCCCTATGAGCCCTTTGACCCCACCTGGGCTGATGATGAGGAGCTGCTCTGACCTTAAGGCCAGGTCTAGGCAGTGTCCTGAACTCCCGGACAGCGCTTTGCTCCCTTGCTGCCAAAGCATGCAGAGGCCCTTGGCATATGTACTTGTGCATATATAATTATTTTAAGGACAGCGGGCAAAAAAGAGACCCTTTATGTATATAGCAAGACTATAGAGTGTGCACTGTGGGAATGGAAAAGAAGTCAGAAGTATTTGTTAATTTGTATATAGTTTTGCATATTTTGTGTAATTTTATATATTCTGTCTAGAAGTAATGACATTTCATAAGTAATGAGTTCACCTTTGGCTAGATCTGAATGTTAAACATCATTTCTTCCTAAAACGAAATGGGAGAAATGGCTGATTCCAGGACTGGGGTAAAGAAGGCCCAAAACTTGGACCATTTTGGCTATAAAATAAAAGTCAGCAGAAACTGATAGGAAGCAGCCTAGTTCAGATCTGCTGGGCAAATGGGAACTGTGATTAGTAACTGTGGAGTGCATACTTTAAAACCAGAGAAAATGTTAAGAATTCTCACCATAAAAAGTGTAGGTGAGGTAGTCTAGATGTCAGTTGATCTGCTTTAGCCAATCCAGCACGCACACATTTATGAAAACCATGTCCACCACAAACATACACATTTTTTGCTTGTCAGTTAGAATAAGTAAATAAATTTTTTAAAAAAAAAGCAAAACACATATTACAGTCTGTAGTGACTTCCCTGGCCTTCTGTGTGGCATTATTAACATGGAAATCCATAATGGCACTGATGGGGCTGGGGTAGAGGTCAGGGTGCTTGCCTAACTTGAGGGACAATGACATATCTTCAACTCCAGGGACACTTTCCCTGGGGCAGCACATTAGTTCCCCAGCACAGCAAGAGAAGGGCTAGGATGGCAAGAATGAAGTGTTACTCAAAAAAAAAAAAAACCATACATATTGCCAACAATATACAGACTGAATAAGCTGTATTTAGGAATATATATGTATACACATATACATGTACACATGTAATAACAATTATTTTAAAAGGCCACGAATATGAAAGTGAGTAAAGAGTTACAGTATGTGGGGAGGACTGGGAGGGGGGAGGAAGAGAAAAATACTGTAATTTTATTATAATCTCCAAAATTAAAAAAATAAATAATGCAGCATTAGCTACCAACTAAAATCCAGATGCATAAGTCCATGCCAGCACTTTAATTTGTTTTTCTTTTTCTGTTTTTTCAAAGGGGAACCTTTAAAAAATAATCTAATAAAATCTATCTAAAAGATAATGATAAAGGATGGGAATGAAAAAGCAATTAGCTTTACATCATGGAAATAATTAGTATAGACAAAAGGAGTAATGATTGCTAAAATCACTGGGCAAAGTCTGCTGGAAAGCAAGAAGTTTCCACAGTTTTAAGTAGCAATCTTGCATACTTCTTAAAAGTAAGGGGAAGGGCTTCAGGGCTCCTTAGCATCCTTCCCTTCTTGGGAATGCTTTTTCTTTTCTCAAAAAGCGCTCTCTATTTGTACCCCATGCCTAACTTAAAAGGCATGACTTTTCTTCATCTCCTCCTTGTGGCTGCCAGAATTTTAATCTCATCTGTCCCAGTTTGCAAAAGCCTCTAATAAAATTGTCCGTGAGCTTCCTTAAGGGGGAAAAAAGGAAAGGGAAAAGTATCTTTGCAATGATAACCTGCAAGATGAACCAAGTGATGACATTTACATATTCAAGGATGAGATGAGACATCAGGTCAAAGGAAGATGATTAAGAGCCCAACCTATTTTTAAAAACTTAGGTGAATGCTGATTTTCTGAGTGAAATATTAGTGCTGTAGTCATTCAGGGAAATACTGCTCTTTACAAACATTTCCAGACAGGGTCTCTCATGGGTTGACTCACAGTGGGGTAGGGATGGCTACAGCCCACTTTCGGGATTCAGCTGTTGAATGACTACCACTTGATGAGCAAAGGCTTCCTCCTTGGGCAGGAGATGTAGCTCAGTGGTAGAGCACTTGTCTTAGCTCAGTGGTAGAGCCTTGCCTAGCATGTGCTCTGGGTTTGATGCTCAGCATCACATTAAAAAGCAAATAGTCAGGCAGTGGTGGCACACTTTTAATTCTAGCACTCGGGAGGCAGAGGCTGAGGATCTCTGATTTCGAGGCCAGCCTAATCTACAGAGTGAGTTCCAGGACAACCAGAGCTACCGAGAAAAATCCTGTCCTAAAAAAACAAAACAACAACAACAACAAAAATACAGAGTGCCCTATTCCATCATAAGCATTCTAAGCTAATGCTACTCTGTTTCGATTGTTTCCTCTGACAATAAGGTAGAAAAGCCTTTTAATTTAAACTTTAAAATGTATCCAGAACCTGTTAACTTCTGGTCATTTTCTTTTCTACCCAGAACCAAACTCTGCAAACTCTAACCCAGATTACTGCAGGAACTTCCCTGTGGGCCCTACACAGCAGCCTGGATGGACTTACTAAAACAGACCAGCTGGGCATTTTGGTACACACCTGTAACCCCAGCATGAGGGCAGACAATGAGACTGGGGCCAGCCTAGTGGGTCCCTAGCTCCCAAACATAAGCAACAAACAACCCCAGGGCAAATATTTTCTCTTCTTGTTCGGAGCTCTAACTTCTCACACTGGATTACGAGACCCTGTTCTCTCTGGCCAGGAAGCTCTCATTCTCTGTCTGTCTCTCCACTCTAAAATTCATTTTCAGCGGCCTTTTCTAGCTGGAACACTCTGGATCCTGGCCCAGACTCTATACTCCCTAAGGGCTGGACCATGTTTCCTTCCCCACATGCTACCTGTCATACTATGAAGTCCAGGAAACTGGTGTCTCTAGTGTGCTAGAAGAATGAAGTAGATATTTTCTTTTGGTCCAATGTGTTTAAAGAAGGTCTTTATTGAAAACGTATATTAAAAGATTATCTTTTGACCTGGGTTTGGTGATGCATATCTGTAATCTCAGTAATTAGGGGTGGGAGTGCTGAGACAGGAGAGCAGGATGGTCATAAATAAGGTCAAGGCTAGACCAGTCTGAAAAGTGGGATGAGACAACTGTCTCAAAGGCAAAACACTCGAAGTGCACTTCCTAAGTCCCTCCTGAATATTTGTCTTCACGGATACTCTGTCTTTTCAGAAGTCAACTCCTGTGCCTGTGCATGGTGGTCCATAGGTATACACCTATAATCCCAGCACATAGGCGAGACAGAAAGAGCTTAAAGTCATTCTTGACTGTGTAGAGAGTCTGAGGCCAGCCAGGGCAGTACCAGGCACCATCTCAAATAAAGCAAAATAATACAAAGAACCTTCAACAACAACAACAACAACAACAAACCCCAAAAGAAATGCTACTTCCTGTCTGCAGCAATCTCATCATTTCTGTTTCACCTTTGGTTTCAGTGATAAACATTCTGGGAGCTAGGAATTAGCTTAATGGAAGAAGGTGTGTTTAACATGGGGTTCAATCCGTAGCACTGCCCCCCCCCAAATATCTTGATTGTGTAGGGTGAGGTATTTGTAGTCTTTGTATCCCCCATAGCTTGAACTTTGACTGTGAGAGAGTGCCACATCCCATGGCAATTGTTTCCAAATGTGCATATAAGCCAAACAGCTCTTCATGCACAGTAACATAGACGTGTTTGCTTGTTAACTGTGTCTCCAGAAAGCTGAAAGCCAACCTACTAATCAATACCATATGGCTTTCTTAGCATTTCTACACCGAGATTCCATTCTTAACATACAAAGCCCTAGCTAGAAGAATAGCTTGATGGTAGAGACCTTACCTACTGTGTGGAAAGCCTAGACCCAGTTCCCAATACAACAAAGATAGATAGATAGATAGATAGATAGATAGATAGATAGATAGATAGATAATAAAAGACCAAAGGCAGGTTGTTGTCTGAGTTTACTGTCCTACCCGGTTCCCATAATCATTAAGTCCCAAAGAAATCACACAGAGGTCTACATTAGTTATAAACTGATCGGCACATTAGCTCAGGCTTCTTATTAACTCTTATAACTTATATTAGCCCATTATTCTTATCTGTGTTAGCCACATGGCTCAGTACCTTTTTCAGTGAGGCAGTCACATTTTGTTTCTTCTGTGGTTGGGTCAGGACTCCAGAGGAATGGGCTTCCTCCTTCTCAGAATTCTCCTGTTCTCCTTGACCCGCCTCTACTTCCTGTCTGGTTGTCCGGCCTATACTTCCTGCCTGGCTACTGGCCAATCAGCATTTATTTAAAATATAATTAACAGAATACAGACCATGGTACTACACCATCAGGTAAGTATCTTAATCTTACCATAGGGACCACCTCTAGGCAATAAAATAAACTCTGGGTTCTGAACATGTCACACATTAAAAACATGATCTATGTTCTCCTCTGCCTCTGTTCTGCGCTTGCTCCATGGCTTTTCTGTGAAAAACTGGATTAATCTGGAAAGCCAGAGTGTTTACAGTTCAACCGGGTGGTACGTCATCAGCTGCCCACTAGCTTCAGTATAGATAACTCTTCTCACGTGTGAGTTATGACAACCATTATCAAGGTCGCTCTGCAGAAACTTGAAGCTGTGTTTGCTAAAAACACTGTTTCTTCACTTGAACATTTTGATATTGATACGATGGCTCAGTTGGGATGCAAGGCTTGGCATCTCTGTCCGTTTAGCATGTCTGTGTCCTTTGCTGCTTCAGAACCTCTCAGCAGACTCTGCTCAACTCTTCATGTAGCTATGCTGACTATTTGAGAAATGTGTCCAGGATTGCAATGCATGATTAACTTAGTCCATTGTCCACTGGAGCTGGCTTGGGTTTCTTCCACCTTGACCTTAGGCTTCTTGTCAACATAAACATTGTAATTCTTCCAGCCCTATACAGCTGGATGTTTGCACAAGACAATGGTGCCAACTGAACTTCAGCAGTTCCTGAGGAAAGTCCTTGCTCATCACCCCACCAAGTACAAGGTCACAAAGCTTGCACAAGAGACGGCCAACTTTTGAGACCATGGCTCTGACCAGTGGAGTTGTAACATATTTCAACTTATGCCTCCCAAAGTTAATAAAAGCCCAGTGCTCCCATTTGTTCAGCAACCAGCAGCCTTATCCTGACTGAGGCTCAGAGCTCTCTCTTTAGCTGTAGTTGAAGTCAATCATGTTGCAACACCATTTGCCTGTCTTGTTTGTAGTGTATGACTTAGTCTTGTTTCTATTGTTGTGTTAAAAGTCCAGTATCAGATGACTTCAAAGAACACTTGAGCCCTGGTTAGCCTAGGCAACATGCTCAAACTCCATCTTTTAATAGGAAAAAAAAATAGGTATGATTGGGGAAAGAGGCAAAACTGTGTTTCCTAGTAATGAACACATAAAAATGGAGTTTCACCAGAAAGTAATTAGTTTTTAGTGAATGCCAAGGAACTTTGGGTTTTTATCAACAACCAGGGTTGCGCAGATGAAGAATGGAAAGTCCACAAACGAGTGACTTTGCCCAAAGTTTCTCAATTTTTACATAACCAAGCTCTATGCACCAAATTTTGATACACAGATGAGTTGTAAATAGGTTTCCTATCTTGGTTCACTGTGGTTTTTGTGTTTGTTTGCTGTTTGTTTTTAACAGGGCCAGCTCCTGACTTGGTCTTGGAACTCAATGTGTAGCTAAGAATAACCTTGAATTTCTGGTCTTCCTGCCTCTGCCCCCCAAGAGGTAGGATTATAGACACTGGCTAACATGTCTGGTTCATGTGCTGGGCAAGACTTCAAGTGCTTTGTGCATGCTTGCTAGGCGAGCACTCTACCAACTGAGCCACATCCCCAGATGACTGTGTAGCCTAGAGGGAAGCTGTGTCTGCCAACCTCCGAAGGACATAATCAGGGTATCTGCTAGTTCTTAAAGTCACTACTGGCTTTGAATCCTCAAAAAATGCTGGTTCCCATAGGAGGAAGAGTCATGTGAGGCTAACAAGAGCCATCTGGTACTCGATCATCATCCTCGCAGGTGTCCTACGTGTTCACAGATCGCTCCCAGCTCCCAGCCTAATCCTACCTAGCCAGAGAGGTCCCCAAAAGGCATAGAGGAAAAATGGGAATGACAGGGAATCCTGGACAGAGGAAGGAACAGATAAGACAAGAAACGAGCAGTAAGGTGTGTGTGGGTGGCTTGCCTACCTGCCCCACCTCCCGAGCATCTTCCTTAGGGCACTGATTACATCCCTGTTCCTCAGGCTGTAAATGAGTGGGTTGAACATTGGAGTGAGGATAGTGTAGAAGATAGAAGTGGCTCTATCT